AAACTCAAGATAGTAAATAACTTCAAACTAACCCATTTAGACTTATCATTAGCCATTATGGAACAAGTAGGTGAGGTATTTACTTCTTCGGATACATTTTTAAATGATCGAGAGGGATGCACCCTCCACTTATCTTCTGAGTCTCCGTAGGCCGCGCGTGAAGCTTTGTCTACGTCCCTTTGGGCAAGAAACATGGCCCATTTTAGTCGATCAACATCAATATAACGAAAATAAAACTGTGAATCACGACTGTAGTGAAATGCATTTGAGGCAATACATGAGGGCAATGAGGTTTCCTTAAATATCCCGTCGTTCTTAGAGCTGTATGGAAAGTGCTGCATATCTATAAAGTAAATACATGATTAGATAATTACGACATAAAAAAAAGAAGTAAAAAAAATTATCTATAGAAATATTTATTTGAAAAAATATAGCCAGGTGCAGGCTATTAGGTTCTGGTTACTTTACAGGATCAAAAAGATAAATTACATTAGGGGACAGGGAGGAAGAAAATTTTTGTAGCTTGTCAATAGCAATCATTCGCTGTGATTTCAACTCAGCCTTAACAAGCTCAGTTAATTTATCTAGTTTGTGTTTATCTAATGAGATATCAGAACATAATGGTTCACATGGATCATCGTGATCAGATTTATCCTGTGAGTTCCAAATAAAGTGGGAGTTTAAACCAAGTTCATTAAAATCCATATCATCCGAAATTGATGGAGTGAGATGGTGCTGGAAAAACAAAATGTCATCATCGATGCAGACTAATAGCTTTTTAAGTGAATCTTTATCGTCCACACTGTTAGACGTCTCCCAGTTTGTTTCAAATCTATCCGCGATAAAAGAGTACTGAGAAACCGTATGTAATAAATCTTTGTAGATGGATAAAAGCTTTTCAAGATCCATTTCATAAGGATGGTGACGTAAAATATCAGAATACTCATAAGGTCCCTCCTTCAGCTTGATATCAAGAACACTATTCATCCAGCGCCAAAATTCTTCCCCAGCCTCTCTCCACGCAATTAAGGCCCCAATTGCAAAGTTCGCTTGTTCCAGTTTCCTCGAGCACATTTTTATTTCAATTTTATCGCCAAAAATCCAAGAAAAGACAGGATTGAGGACATTGTTTTCGTCAAGGGATCCTTTCGACCAGAGATTGTGGGTTAGCCGCACCAATTCCAAGCGAAGGTGATACATTTGTTTAAGTTTTGTAGAAAGCCGTCCTTTAAGCCAAATCAATTCTTCTAGACTTTTTAGAGACTCTTCCTTAATGCATTCTGTCTCACTTTGTGACACAGAAGACAGCACAGGGGCAAGAGCCGCTCGCGCAGACGCAAATAAGCAAAGCTCCATTTTTTCCATGACACGACATTTACATAAAAGCCATGCTACAGCAATAAGTGCATCTCGTGGCTCTATAATATCATCTTTGAAGTTGATGGTCAAATAGCCCCTGCACCTGAGTTGGTTTCTTATATAGTTGCATATACAAATCCGATCAAATCTTTTATAGCCCTCGTGACAAAGTTCATCCAAATTTCCGTAGTTAAGGAAGTAAACTATTTGATATAAAAGTTTTATCATAGTGCTTTGAGATTTAGTGTCATTGAATTTTGCTAGTCGGAAATCTTCGGGTGTAACTTCACTAAAACCCAAATAGCGTAAGATATTTGTTAACCATGAAATACATGTTTTTACTCCACTCATATGCTGAAGTGTTATGCAAAGATTATGTTGACAGATTGAAAAGGCGTGGCACAAAGGCAACACAGTTTACATTAGTTACAAACAATAACCCGCGCGCACGTAGATAAATAAGTTTAGGATCACAAAATACAAGTATCATTAATAAGTTAATTTTTGATGATTTAAAATTCCCTAAATTTTATTTTAAATACTCTTTACTTTTTTACATATCTGAACGAGTCTGCCTATTTCACTTGCGATGGAGCTTTTATATAAGCTTGGTGGTTGTGCTTTTGAGGCTGCTATTGATAGAAAAGTGACAGTCCTTGCATCAGAACTCTGGAAGGTACTGGGTGTTTTTTGTTTTTATCCTAACTTTTTC